TGCCCCTAGGAAGAGACTGCAACAGATGAGGACTCTGAGGAAGCAGTGTGGGGAGTTCAAGATAGGACAATATGGAGTCATGAAAGAATTTTATGAAGAAAGATACCCATTAAGATCTTGTATTTATGGTTGGTGCTATGGTTCATAGTATTGCACCAGCCTAGCAAGTGTGAGGCCCTGAGTTTAAACCCCAGCACACACACACACACACACACACACACACACACACACACACCCGATATTATGGGACAAAAGATTGCCCTGATCTAACACACAACATCATTTATAAGAGCAAGCAAGACAGATGGAGGAGGCAATGCAGGACATCCTACATTTGCCATGCAAATACAAGGATTGTAAGGTTGGGATTTTATTCAAGATTCACCTCATGAACTCCAAATAATAGTCATACAATGTGAAAGAGGAGCCAAGAATGTCAGCAAAAGCAGTAACAAGAGGAAAGGAGACCAGAGGAATGAAGTACCTGTCTTTGAGAATAGAAAGGAGCTACAAATAAGATAACAAAGTGACTCTAATAGTTAGAAAAGGCAAGGGTGGGTTTCTGCTGGATCCTGCAAAAGCAGATCACCCTCTGAGATCCACTTTGGACTTTTGACCTCTAGAGCTTCTCTCAGGCAATACATGCATTTTCATTGTTTTAAGCTACTAAATCTGAAACCTTTTTTTTACAGCCTCCATGGGGCTGGGGCGGGGGGGGGCAAGGGGGGGAGGAGAGGGAGCACCATCATACCAAAGAACCAAAGCCATTTTTTTTTGGTCATGGAAGAGATCATTCATCTGTTTAAAATGAGGAGGTGGGGGGTGTGTGTGGCGGGCTCTGGGTAAGAATCTTCAGGAAGATCAACATTCTAGAAAAGATAGAATAGTCCTGCTTCTTTCTTTGATGGTTGGGTCTCTGAACATTTAGATGGGAGGAAGTGTGTGTAGCCATTGATCCCCTTGAATATGGAATTTAAACAGAGCATCTCTCCCACATGTTGCCTCTACCACACTTTTCAAGGCTGTGATGGACAGGTTTCAGAGGAAGTAGCAGAAGCAAAGGGAATGACACAATGACTATAATCAGAGGGACACTGTTTTTGTATGGTCCAGACTCCCCCACTAACCTTTTCTCTTGTTCTAAGGCTCCTCCCTCCCAGCCCAGGGATGGCTATTTTCCAGAAGCTGGAGAGGTAGGCTGAGGCCAGATTGACTTGCATATCTGAGCTTCCTTCTCTCCATCATGGTTGGAATGTATCTGAATCAGTGACTCTCTTGTCTGGATTCTCGGAGAACTAGCGTGATTGCTTCCTGAGGTCAAGCTTTTGTCTGCATCACTGCAGCCCTGTTCCAATATGTTGTGTGTGGGATGGCACCTACTTGAAAAACTGCAGGGTTAAGCTAACAGCTATTCTTTCTCAAGGGATGGATCCATGAAGTCATACCTGCAGTAGGAATTAGAGACATGTAAAGCCCAGGGGTTGGGAGAGTAAACTATGCAGGTACAGTTCTAATAGAATCTTGTTTCCTCCCTCTCTCATGCAGCCCATGGTCCCCATTTCATGCAACCACACAAGACAAAGACCATGATTTACATTGATACTTTTTTCATTTATTGAGGATAAGCCCACCAGTCCATGATTATTTGAGGGACCATTTTCAATGGCTCCCTCTTTCTACTCTTTACAGTCACATTAGTGGTTTGGTCAGAGGATCCGGCAGGGCTGTGGGGATGGTCTTATTCTAGGGATGACCTTCAGTAAAACCTCCTTCTCCTTAGAATAGACTTGGACTTGGTGATGGCCTGGGATACCCTCTACCTGTACAGAAAAAGCAAGCATGGTTCCCTCGGGCACAGAGATTCCCTTTGTTGACCCAGGAGAGCTGAATGCATAGCACTGGGCCCTGGCTAGACTAGCAGTATCTCTGAAGCTGTGTGCAAGTCTTCACAGGAGAAAGCTTTAGGTAAAACAGGCTATCCTCACATGGACTGAGCACAGGCTCAGATCTTTTGGGTAGGGTATTGGAAGAGGGTCCATGGAAAATTTGCTACTTTGGTTTGTATTGAGACTTGGAACAATGACCTGCCTTGTCTGATCCCCTAACTCATTCTGGAAGGTTCCTGTTTAATCGTCATTCTAGGTTTCAGTACTGGGCTTATGGGAATGGAAAACAGCAGGGCTGGGACTCTGCCCCATCAGCATCTCAGACTAGGACCACCAGCTCCTATGAGACATCTGAAGACCTCATAGGGTTGCTTTTATTCCAGGCATCATTCTGAGAGAGGATGAGAACCTGGAAATGGGGTAGGGAGCATTTTAGAATAAAAGAGAATTAATGAGCAGTTTTAGAATCCTCCCTCCCCCATGCAACAGAATGAAAACACAACAGACAATGTTAAGTAGAAACCAGTTCAACAGTTAGGGTCCAGAGCAAATGAAGCTCCCTAAAGAAGGAGGAGGAGGGTAGATAATACCACTCAGTGAGCTGTAAACCTGGGTGCTGGCACTGTACTCTGAGAGGAGTCCTTGCAGGGGATGCTTTGCTGCAAACATGGCATCTGACTTGGCCGCACTCCCAGACCTGGTGCACTCAGCCTTCCATGGGGCAATGAACTTTGGCAAAAGCCTTCACGATGTTCTACCTCAGAGTGACACCCATGTGTGGAGTTCCCATGGGGAGATACATGGCCCTTAGGGGTTTTCCTTCTTAGCCTGTTCCTTCCTTTTCTCTGCTTAGAATTTATCTTGAGGAGTAAGGGATAGGAGCAGGTACTTCTGGAAACTGCAAGCACAACACAGAATTTGGATGCCTTCTTGAATGGTGGTTGTCTCCAGACTGCTTTCCACCAAGACACTCATGATAGAACCTTCTAGAAGGACCCTCCTTTCCACAGATCTGCCCAGACTACAGGCTCTTGGGCTCATGAAAGGCATGGCAATTGTGGCTTCTAAGTGCCCTATCTGGGAACTTATCTGCAGGCTCCTATGTAAGAAAGCATTTAAGAATGAGAGGGCAGTATTCCAGGGCTGATCGTAAATCTGCATTCACATCAGCAGAAGGGTGAAAAGATCTTTAAGCTCTATTGCTTGAGGCACTAGAATTCCAACTAATGACATACACTTGAAACAACCCCCAAATTGGTCCTGACTTGCCTGTGTACATGGGTTGGGGTAGGAAATGGCCGTCCAGGTGAGACCTCCAGGAAATTAATGATTGACCTCCCCAGAATCCCCCACAATGCAACAGGAACAAAGATGGATTCTGACCCTGTATGTGGAACCATTGGCAGGATGGAGATACCTGGAGGTTTATTAGAAAGAGGTTATAATGGGACTGGGAAGCCAGAAGCTGAAGAGTAAAGGGAGTTCCTAAAGCTAAAGTGGGGTTCTCAAGCAGGTTTCTTCCAGCACCTCAATATCATAATACCTCTGTCAATATCCCATGATGAGAGGCCTGGCCTAGGGCAGCCTGGCAATCCCTCTCATGCATACCTCTTAAGGTCTTTCACCTAATGGCTTCTTGGTTACTAAAAGAAGTTTGGAGAGCGCTAAACCTTGAGGGTGTTTGTGGGCCCTCTTAAGACACCCTTCCAGTCTCCAAATACCCCAGGAGGTATACAATGTACCCTGGGAGAAACTATACAGAAGCATTGAGGGAAACAGGCTCAAGAGGGGATGAAACTGAACATCTGGCAGGTCATGGAAGTGGCCATGCAGCGTCCCAATTTAAGTTCTCCCCAAAGTTTCTGTGTATGCAGGGTAATTTCTGCTGTGTTCAGTGCATTTCCTTTTCCATCTTTGTATCCTTTCAAACTGGTAATCTTATGCTATGGTTCTTAGCTTAGAAAATCTGGCCTCCGGGAGTCTTTCTCTCTCTTTCCCCAAGTTTGAGTTCGGCACCAACACTCAAAGTCAGTGCAGGATATTCTAAATGTCAGTTCGCTTGGGAAACAAGATGAAAGATCAGATCTGGTTTTCTCTCTACCCGGGGACTTGCTAAAAAGAAGGCCACTTAATAGACACTTTGGTAGGCAGAGGCAGGGATAACACAGTGGGGATTTTTTTTTTTAAAAGAGAAGGCATCTCTAGAAAAACCTACAGACCATTTAGATGCGGCATTTGATCTCGGGTTTGGTTTTGATGGAGTTGAAGGGGAGAATGGTCTTACAGAATCCCTCTGTAGCTTTCTGCCTTCCTATTCTGGAAACTGGGGGTAGAGACAGGGATAGAGGGAAAGAGGAAGTTGTGACAACATGCATTTTCCCTGGGCTCATTGCCAAGGTGAAGACAGTTGAGTGCGAAGGAGGCAAGAGGAAATTGTGACTCCTTTAGTCTACACGATTGCCTCTGGTATAAATATTATATCATAGAGAATAAAACTTCTTCAGCTGGCTAACTCCCAGAGTCATGCCCAGAGGGATGTGCTATCCCGAATGGTGTTTATCTCCAGCTTTCCTTCACTGTTTAGTTTCTGGAATGTTTGATAACATAGGAATTGTCCCGTGGCTTCAATCTCAATGCCCTGTTACAGGAGCTGGGACTGTCAAACTCAGTGGGTCAGAACTCTCTCTTCCTTTGTCCTCTGTAAAGGGCCTCTGGTGGTCAATTTTGGTTCCAGAAGAATGCAAATGTGGGGGATAGCTCAGGCACTCATATGTATATATACATATAAAGATGAAGTTCTCCTTGAGACCTCATAGCTGACCTCAAGGAATTTCCCGGCATATACTGCATTTGGGATGAATAATGCCTGGATGCAGGAGCTGGGGATGAAGAGAGTAACCATTAGGACCCAAGGGAAGGTTCAGCAGAATCACAGAGATCAGGTGGGATTCATTCAGCTGGCCATACTCCAAGCTACAGGAGAGTGGGGCCTGAGTGCTCTGTCTTTCCTATAGTACCAGGAATAGGGTTTTCCTGGGATGGTTTTGTGACATCTGATGGAGGAAGTTGGATGTGGGATGTTGGTTATCAGATCTCCTCTTTCTAGTCAGGTCATCAGCGATTCAGGATGAAAAACTTGAGGCTCTGGAAGAAACTTGACTTCTGCCTCTGCTTCTGCTTCTTTTTGATGATGGGTACCCACACCAGCCCACACACCAGAGTCATGAGTCCTAAGGACAGGAAGGCAGGCCCTATCATTTTAAGGGCTGTAGTGGTTTTAGGATTCAGGTTCAAGACATAGGCCAGGCAGGTGATGGCCACACCAAAGAGCAGGGTGGCGCTGCCCACAGACATGATGATGATGGGCTTCCGGTAGATTTCCCAGTTGCTCCTAGGGGTGGTGGTCCAAACAGACTCGCTTCTGGAACTGATACACAAGGAGCTGGCAGTCTGGCTGGGCAGCAGATCCTTGGATTCTGGAGATTTCTCATCCACTTCCAGGGCCTTAGGGAGCACCTCCATTGTCATGGTTGATCAGAACAGGGCACCTAGTACTGGAACCAAAAACAAGGATGAGGCTGAAAGGGATCCTTATATAACCTTCCTGTGCTCAGCATCCATCAGCAATGCAGCTCTCTCTCTCTCTCTCTCTCTCTCTCTCTCTCTGTGTGTGTGTTAAAGCTAAAAGGAAAAGCAGACAAAATCTGCATAAGAAACCATCCAAGTTGGCATGCTTTCCTTTTTCTCTTGTGAGAGATAAATATTATGTCATTCTAATCAACCAGTCTTAATACTTAAACCAGGGAACAGTGGTGATGTTGAAAAAACAAACAAATATGAGCTCTAGTTTATTGAATGGCATCTGATTTTCAGGCCCAACCACTTTCCAGTGGTGCAATTCTGAATGAATTATATTGCCTTTCTTTACTTCAGTTTTCTTATCTATAAAATGAGAAAAATAATACTATGTCTAGCATGGGGTTTTCAAAATGGTTTAAATGAGTTAAGGGCTATATTGTATTGGATCAATATCTAGCATACAAAGCGTTACATAAATGGTGTCATTTGCCTACTAAAGAGTAATGCTTTGTCAAAGGAGGGGGTAACAATGTTTGACAAGAAATGTACTCATTACCTTACTCATGTAACCTTGACCCCTTTGTTCAGCATCTTTACAATAAAATAAAATTTTAAGGGGCTGGGAGGGTGGCTCAGTGGTAGAGTGCTTGCCTCGCATGCATGAGGCCCTGGGTTCGATTCCTCAGCATCACATAAGCAGAAAAAGCCAGAAGTGGCACTGTGACTCAAGTGGTAGAGTGCTATCCTTGAGCTGAAGAGCTAAGAGACAGTGCCCAGGCCCAGAGTTCAGGCCCACAACTGACAAAAAAACATTTTTTTAAAGGAGTAATGCTTTGTACATAAATGTATGTGTGTATGTATGTATGTAAAACTCTTCCTTCATTAAATTGGAGCTCTACATTAACCCTGTGAATTGACCATTAATTATATTTATTTATTTTTAATTTATTTAAAGTTCTGAGCTTTGAATTTAAAGCCTCACTCTGGAGGCCTCTAGATATAATTTTTAGCTGATGCTCTGCCACTTAGTTGGCACCTCCAGCATTTTACTGGTTCATTGGAGATGAAGGCCCAGACTTTTCTGCCCAGGCTGGCTTTGAACTGTGATCCTTCAGATTTCAGTCTCTTGGGTAGCTAGGATTGTAGGCATGAGCCACTGACATCTCGTTAGTCCTACTTAATAGATAGGAGAGGTAAAAAGCAACCTAATTAAGAACATGGAAAACAACTCCTTTGTACAACTACTTAAAGATAATAATTTTAAAACTTACATATTTAAAAATGAACAAGGATAAAGAACCACCAAAGCTCAGGTTTTCATTTGAAAATGCCAGGCTGTGTACAGCAGGGGAATGATGCTCAGTGTAGCCTGGGGGTTTTAGTGATGTCTTAGGTCCAGAGTTCTCTTCCAATATCTAAATACCACCCTTTCCTACCTTCCATGTTAACACAAGGATGGGTTTCTGTCTTTCCATTTTCTTTAGTTTAGATATTTCTTGTGTGTGTCTTATCACTGGCATATTTAAGAGTGGAAACTTAGAATCTAACTGTGCTGTGTAGGGGTGGAACCTTCGGGAGATAAGAGGATTAGGTTAGCAGAGTAAGGTTCCCAGGATTGAATCCTTCTCTGTTGCCACATGTTGTATGCCATTTTGCAACTCTGCCAGCATAAAGGCCACACACATATGTGGATCCCTGTTCTTCCCAACAGAGGCAAATGAACCTCTTTTCTCTAGAAGGCATTTCATTATAGTAACATTATATATAACAGAAAGTGAATAGATTCACCGTTATCAGGGCTGTAAAAGCACAGAGCCTAGCTCAGCTGCCTGTCCAGTTTCTCATTTAGAGTCACCCCAGGCATTCTCATCTCCTGGTCCCTACTTAGAAGATATAGTTGGTCACTGGCAACAGTTTACAACTATTGAGAAGTACCATTGGCCTGCTCTAAACTTCTCCACCAGGGTTTTCCCATTCCTTCAATGTGGGGTTGAATACTTTCATTCCATAGTCAGAAATGCAGGTTCAAGTGCAAATGCCTACATGTCTACAGTAAGGGAATTAGATATGAATGGCTGATAGTACTTTCCTGCCCATAGATTGGTTAAGGAGGAGGGAAAGACTAAGAGGGCCTTTCACCCACATCACTGCCCTGATTCATCTTGAAGCTGTCTCAGTCACTTATCTAGCACAGGGCTTTACCCACAAGGCTTTGTTTATCTTTAATTGAATGAGTAAGTGAAGGAATACCTTTCCTTCCTTCTTCCCTCCCTTCTCCCCTTTCCTCTAGTCACTAGGACCAATGTAAGATCTGCTAGTTTCTCTAGGCAGAAATCAGGGAACTTCCCCTGTGACAGGTTCAGGGCCTGCTTATGTCAACATCCACAAGTATCCCTTCTTGGGAGTAGGACTCAGGAGATCTCTTTCTGTAGCAGAAAGCTTATTGGGGCAGATGGGCCATTCATCACAGTTACAATGGGTCCAAATAGGGTGCTGTGTGCATGTGAATCATACTCAAATATGGAGGAGGTAGCATTTTTGGGAGCCATGTGACCAGTTCTGGAGCAAAAGATAGCTCTAAGGAGTTGGTAGTTTCCCGTGCCCGGGGCTCTTCTTTATTGAGTGTTTTTCTGCTTCAATACTTGTGCAATCTTCATTGCAACCCAGCCTCCTCTACTTCACCCACCCCACAGGTTAGTCTTGTCCATTGGGTAAGTTTCCCCCTTCTCCCCCGCCCCTTCTTTGTCTCCAAGCTTTCTAAATGAAGCAGCTACAGAGCCCTTACCACTGACAGGAGGAAACAGAAATAACATACAATTTTCCAGTGCCTTTAGAATTCAGATACATTCAGCCACACTCGTTGGGAGGGAGGGCATTTAAATCTCTGCTTCTAAAAGCTTTGAAAACTACCACAGTGTGCTTTTGTACTGAGGTTTATTTAATTCTGGAAGGAACATGTGCTTTTTTTTTTTTTGCATAAGTGAAGCCATCATTTCAGAAGTGATTCCCTCTCTTCTGAGCTGGGGGCAGGGCAGGGATCACAGAGGGCACTGGAAGATTTTTGTACTGCATGTGGCAACTGAGGTGACAAGACTTCTGCATAGCTGTCTCCATCCTGTCTAGCACACAGGACTTTTACCCATGAGACTCTGCTTATCTTTGCCTTTTATCCCCTTTCTACTCATTATGATGACAAATTCAGGATCTGCCAGTTTTTCCAGGTAGAAATCAGAGGTCCTCCTTACCCCTCCCACTGCTTCTAGCACTTTGTAGTGAAGATCCAGAGAAGACATTGTTGCACATTTTAGTTGTGCTTTGCAAAAAGAGCTGGGGCTGAGTGGGAAAGGACTTGTCTCAGCTGCCATCTTGGTTTGAGGGGTCCTCTTACTTAGGAACTAGAAGCAGAGACCCTGCTGGTGGAATTCTCATTCTGACAGGGATACAGAACTAATCATGCATGCTAGAAGTGCCTAATACCTTCTCTTTGGCCCTGCACAAGGGGATTATTCATTTAGCCTCATTTTACAAGAGGGGAGACTGAGGCACATACAGTGAAATCTAAGAGCGTGGCAAAAGTCTCCTCTCTACTCTCTGGGTTGCTTTCATGTGTAGCTGTACTGGGATACAGGACAATGTTGTCAGACTCAAAGATCTTGGCTATGTTAAAGCTGGTGAAGATGAATCCTGAGGATTCTTCAACTATAAGAATCTCGAATGTTTTATTTTGTGGTTCCTTTTGTCCTAAAATAAGCTTTCACTGTGTATAAGAGGACTTAGGTGTGAAGTTCTCAGACATTAAGCCACTGCACAATATGGGAAACAAAAATATTCTTGTAAAGTTTTCATTTAATTTCACATTTATACATTTTAAACAACTTTTATTCTGACACTGTAATATTCTTTATTTTCTGAAATGCCAATAATGGATGATGATCATTGGTTTGTTTAGTAGTTGAACCTGGCAAGAAAAATGTGGCCACAATATGTATATGTATGCATGCATGTATGATCTATGTATATATACATGCACATGTTCATATATATGATCTATGTATCTATCATCTATGTATCTATCTTTGCCTGTACCTATGCATCTATCTTCTTTCTATCTATCTATCTATCTATCTATCTATCTATCTATCTATCTATATCTATCTATCTATCTATCTATCTATCATCTATCTATGTTGCAATGGTGCAGGAAAATGGGAGTCACTACTTTGCCTGCATTGGGAAGAAGGATGGATCCTGGAGCAAACAAAGGGACAAAAGATGTATTTCTACTCAGTTACTGAGAGAGAAGTAACTCCCTTCCCCTGAGCAAGGATGAGGACTCTATCTTCTCTTCTCTCTTCTATGTCTTTGTTCCCCTTCCTCTCACCCTCCATTACACTGGGAAAAAAGTAGGTCATTCATGGTTCCAGTAAGCACTAAGCATACAGAGAGCCAGATAATTGGTACCCAAGTGACCACTATTTGAACCTAACTTTCCACTTGAAAGCTGTGAGATTGTGGGCAATTTTCTTAAGCCTCTAGAGCTCTAATAGCCCCATATATAAAACAGGGACAATAAGTTATTTACCTCATAGGTTTATTGTGACTGTAAAATTTCTAATAACAAAAACACTGTGATACTGTTTGACATGTTATAGTATTCAAGGAATAGACCTGGTTGCTATTGCAATCATTCTCTTCCTGAGTCCCTGCTTTCTTTTCTTTATTTTTCTTTTGTGACAGGGTCTCATTATGTAGCTGCTTGTAGTCTTAAACTCTTGCTCTTTCTGCCTCAGCCTTTATAGGTATGTACCACCACACTTGGCTAACTTCCATGTTTTTGTGTCTAAAATAATTGATTTGTGTTAAGCGACTTAAAACCCCAAATTCAACACATAAAATTCAAAAACATCTAAACTGGTCTGTGTTAGGAGATGCCAGGAATGTGGCTACCT